CTTCCAAATAAAGACTGCCAATCTATTTGTTTAAAAATGTAATAATGCAACAACTAACATCACATCAGGGAAGATGGCAACTTCTTGCCAAATGTCTACAAGAACCTTCATAGAAATTGTGGCTAAGAATGAGCATCAGTGTCATAATTTAGAGGCAAAGACAGAGACCTTCTGCCTAGTGGGTCTGTGTATCTTTGCCAGGCCACGTTTCCAGCTATGTCACCAAGTACCAAAATAAGCTGAGTTCAGCCCTAGCCGGTTTGCCTCAGTGGATAAAGTGTCAGCCTGCAGACTGAAGGGTCCCAGGTTCAATTCCGGCCAAGGGCATGTACCTTGGTTGCGGGCACATCCCCAGTGGGGGGCGTGTAGGAGGCAGCTGATTAATGTTTCTCTTCATCAATACTTCTATCTCTCCTTCTCTAAAATCAATAAAAACATTTAAAAAAAGATTCTTAGATATATTTAAATGGCATGAGGAAAAAAATCTGGTACATTATGAGAACTTTACGAAGTGCCTCATTCAACACCATATCAAGTCAGACAAGAAATCCTTTACCTTGGCATTATATGAGGGGAACACACTTTTCCTTTAAGCTCAAAATCCATCTCATCAATAAAAATACTAAGAGAATGGTTGAGACTATATGGGGTGGGGAACACATAAGGCCTAAGAAATTATTTGATCTGGCCCTGCCAAGGCATTAAGGGTGAGTTAATGAAATGTTATTTTAAAAAATATATTTTTTATTGATTTCAGAGAGGAGGGAAAGGGAGAAATAGAAACATCAGTGATGAGAATCATTGATTGGCTAGCAGGCTTATATTTAAGTTGATAATTTTGTACAGCCTGAGAATGATGTTATAAATATCCAAATGGCCCTTGGCAGAAGAAAGGTTCCCCACCCTTGCCATACATGGATACACAACTGGCTAAAATGATATGAATACAAGTAAGAGAGGATACAATGGTCCACTGTTACTATTCCTTGCAATGCCATTCATGATCGATTATACAGTAACTTCATTAAGTTTAGAAATGTTAAATTGAGGTGAGATCAAACTGGATGACTGAAAATGACTACAGTATATGACTCTGAAATCACTTGTCAAAAACTGTACAGTTAAACAGGCAAAGAAACAAAACTAGATTTCATATAGGTGTAAAATGGAAACTTAAAGCTAGATACAATAGCAAAATAATGACCTAAGTTTTACTAACTTAAATGCCAGACCTGGATTAAAAATATGAGCATGGCCCTATCCGGTTTGGCTCAGTGGATACAGTGTCAGCCTGCGGACTGAAGGGTCCTGGGTTCAATTTTGGTTGTCTATGCCCAGGTGCGGGTTTGATCCCTGGTAGGGGGCATGCATGAAACAGCCAATCAATGATTCTCTCTCATCATTGATGTTTCTATCTCTCCCTCTTCCTTCCTCTCTGAAATCAATAAAAAAAATGTTTTTAAAAATATCCTACATAATAAAAGCATAGTATGCAAATTGTCCCCTCAACCAGGAGTTCTTCTGGGAGTTCGACCAGGGGACAGGACTGGCCGGGAGAAGGAGGGAGTACCCAGCCGGCAGCCACTAGGGACCCTACCCGTGCACAAATTTCGTGCACTGGGCCTTGAGTATATGTATATTTTTAAAGAGCCTTTATTAAAACAACAGCAATG